GGAAAAACGGCAAGGGGGATGAATACTTTTGCAAGGCAAAAGTCGATTGACTGTGCCTTTTCATATCCTTTAAAAATATATATTTCCCTTTATTACTTTCCAACACCACCACCCCTTCCCTAATTGGAGTAAACTAGTGAACAACAACGCTTAGGCCTCTACTTCCAGCTTATACATACTATATACATTTTATGGACACAGTCAATTTTACAATAATTATATTTTGTTTGTTTTTACTCCTGAACTTCCTCTACCCTCAACCTCTCCGATCATTTTCATGATGTCCATCCGGTTTGCTTCTATATGCCATATCTTTCTAACTGTGCTCTTTCACAAAAGCTCTCAACCTATAACCTATATACTTATTATAGACACAGTATGCTTTACATTAGTTATCTTGTTGTTATTAGTTGTTGTTAGTTGTTATTAGTCCCATCATTCAGCTCCATTCAACACCTCCCATCTATCTCTTAACACAATCCATATTGGATTTCTATTTGCCATATATTTTTCAACTATAATGTGATGTTTCACAAAAGTTCGGAACCCTTCTATTCTCATTGTTTCTACAGACTGTAAAATGAAAATAAACATTTTTGCTAAAAGTATTATTATATTATTGATCAATTGACTGTGCCTTTTCAGATCACCCAGTAGTGCTATCTGCAGGGTTAGCTCCAGATAAATATTGCAATCCTTCAGCCATTCCTGGACCTGTGACCAAAAACAAGCTACAAATGGACAGTACCAAAACAAATTATCTGATGATTCTGTCTCTTCGCAGCAAAATCTGCAGACCTGGGAAGATTGTATCCCCCATATAAATAACATTCTATTGGTAGCAATAGATTATGAACCAATTATGTTCTTTAATGCAGGGCAGACAAGTTCCTTACTTTTTCCCCCTTCCACTTTCCTCTTCCAATTTTTGTGGTAATGCTGCAATTATTTGGTTGTAATTTTGGGTAGAGCAGACATTTCCATATGTATTTGTTTGCTGCATGTGCAACGTAACTCCACCAGTCCAACCTATGATATCATTTACGAAGATTATACAGTGGGGAACAAAAAGTATTTAGTCAGCCACCAATTGTGCAAGTTCTCCCACTTAAAAAGATGAGAGAGGCCTGTAATTTTCATCATAGGTACACGTCAACTATGACAGACAAATTGAGAGAAAAAAAATCCAGAAAATCACATTGTAGGATTTTTTATGAAATTATTTGCAAATTATGGTGGAAAATAAGTATTTGGTCACCTCCAAACAAGCAAGATTTCTGGCTCTCACAGACCTGTAACTTCTTCTTTAAGAGGCTCCTCTGTCCTCCACTCGTTACCTGTATTAATGGCACCTGTTTGAACTTGTTATCAGTATAAAAGACACCTGTCCACAACCTCAAACAGTCACACTCCAAACTCCACTATGGCCAAGACCAAAGAGCTGTCAAAGGACACCAGAAACAAAATTGTAGACCTGCACCAGGCTGGAAAGACTGAATCTGCAATAGGTAAGCAGCTTGGTTTGAAGAAATCAACTGTGGGAGCAATTATTAGGAAATGGAAGACATACAAGACCACTGATAATCTCCCTCGATCTGGGGCTCCACGCAAGATCTCACCCCGTGGGGTCAAAATGATCACAAGAACGGTGAGCAAAAATCCCAGAACCACACGGGGGGACCTAGTGAATGACCTGCAGAGAGCTGGGACCAAAGCAACAAAGCCTACCATCAGTAACACACTACGCCGCCAGGGACTCAAATCCTGCAGTGCCAGACGTGTCCCCCTGCTTAAGCCAGTACATGTCCAGGCCCATCTGAAGTTTGCTAGAGTGCATTTGGATGATCCAGAAGAGGATTGGGAGAATGTCATATGGTCAGATGAAACCAAAATAGAACTATTTGGTAAAAACTCAACTCGTCGTGTTTGGAGGACAAAGAATGCTGAGTTGCATCCAAAGAACACCATACCTACTGTGAAGCATGGGGGTGGAAACATCATGCTTTGGGGCTGTTTTTCTGCAAAGGGACCAGGACGACTGATCCGTGTAAAGGAAAGAATGAATGGGGCCATGTATCGTGAGATTTTGAGTGAAAAGCTCCTTCCATCAGCAAGGGCATTGAAGATGAAATGTGGCTGGGTCTTTCAGCATGACAATGATCCCAAACACACCGCCCGGGCAACGAAGGAGTGGCTTCGTAAGAACCATTTCAAGGTCCTGGAGTGGCCTAGCCAGTCTCCAGATCTCAACCCCATAGAAAATCTTTGGAGGGAGTTGAACGTCTGTGTCGCCCAGCAACAGCCCCAAAACATCACTGCTCTAGAGGAGATCTGCATGGAGGAATGGGCCAAAATACCAGCAACAGTGTGTGAAAACCTTGTGAAGACTTACAGAAAACGTTTGACCTGTGTCATTGCCAACAAAGGGTATATAACAAAGTATTGAGAAACTTTTGTTATTGACCAAATACTTATTTTCCACCATAATTTGCAAATAAATTCATTAAAAATCCTACAATGTGATTTTCTGGATTTTTTCCCCTCATTTTGTCTGTCATAGTTGACGTGTACCTATGATGAAAATTACAGGCCTCTCTCATCTTTTTAAGTGGGAGAACTTGCACAATTGGTGGCTGACTAAATACTTTTTTTCCCCACTGTACCTTTTTAAATATATATATTTTTTTTAAGTATGGTTTTTTATCAATTAGTATATTTGAGTTTAACCACAATATTTGTTGCATTATTTGTTCAGTCGTTTCTGGAGGATTAAATTGAAATTGCAACCAACTTTCTATTGCTTGTTTTAGAAATAGTGATATTTGGGAGATTATTTCCTTTTCAAATAACTGAAAGTGAGAGGTTGTAATCTGAATAAAGGGGAAAAGGCCATTCTTGAACATGGGGTGAGACAATCTTACTAATTTGCTAGAGAACCAGTTCGGATTTAAGTATAACTTTTGTATGACTGAAGCTTTTAGTGATAGGTCTAATGCTTTAATATTTAATAATTTCTGTCCTCCGAATTCATATTCATTATATAAATAGGCCCGTTTAGTTTTGTCTGGCTTGCTGTTCCAAATAAAATGGAATATTATTTTCTCATATAATTTAAAAAAAGTGTTTGCTAGGCGTAGGAAAGACCATAAGCAAATAGGTAAACCGGGATAATACTAAAGAGTTCATCAGGGTGATTTTTCCACAAATAGACAGGTATTTACCTTTCCATGGTAGCAAGACCTTATCTATTTTTGCTAACTTTCTATTCAAATTTATTTAATTTGGGATATGTATTCAGAGTATATCCACATCACCATCAGACCATTTTATTGGTAAACTACATTTTCTTTTTTAGTGATCCAATACGTAATATAGTACATTTATCATAATTTGGTTGTAATCCAGAGATGTTAGAAAATGTATCTAGATCCTCTATGAGGCTGTGGAGGGATTCAAGTTGTGGATTTAAAAGAGAACATGAATCGTCAGCGTACAATGAAACCTTTGTTTTTAAGCCCTGGATTTCTAGCCCCTTGATATTATTGTTGGATCTGATTTTAATAGCTACAATTTCGATGGTTTACTAATCTGGGACCTTCACAGTTCTATGAGACTCTTGAGGTTAATTAATAATTAGAGTTAGCAAAAATAATTAACTGGCAAGACAAGAGGAAGAAAAAGAATGAAGGCATAGAGAGATAAAGGGATGGAGACAGACAGACAGACAGACTGGCAGACAGGAAGATAGAAAGACAGACAGACAGACAGACAGACAGACAGACAGACAGACAGACAGACAGACAGACAGACAGACAGACAGACAGACAGACAGACTGGCAGACAGACAGACAGGCAGACTGGCAGACAGGAAGATAGACAGACAGACAGACAGACAGACTGGCAGACAGACAGACTGGCAGACAGACAGACAGACAAACAGACTGGCAGACAGACAGACAGACAGACAGACTGGCAGACACCAGGCAGACTGGCAGACAGACAGACATACAGACTGGTAGACAGACAGACAGACAGACAGACAGACAGACAGACAAACAGACTGGCAGACAGACTGGCAGGCAGACTGGCAGACTGGCAGACAGACAGACTGGCAGACAGACAGACAGACAGACAGACAGACAGACAGACAGACAGACAGACAGACAGACAGACAGACAGACAGACAGACAGACAGACTGGCAGACAGACAGTCAGGCAGACTGGCAGACAGGAAGATAGACAGACAGACAGACAGACTGGCAGACTGGCAGACAGACAGCCAGACAGACTGGCAGACAGACAGACAAACAGACTGGCAGACAGACAGACAGACAGACAGACAGACAGACAGACTGGCAGACACCTGGCAGACAGACAGACATACAGACTGGCAGACAGACAGACAGACAGACAGACAAACAGACTGGCAGACAGACTGGCAGACAGACAGGCAGACTGGCAGACAGACAGACAGACAGACCGGCAGACAGACAGACAGACAGACAGACAGACAGACAGACAGACAGACAGACAGACAGACAGACAGACAGACAGACAGACTGGCAGACAGGCAGACAGACATACATACTAGCAGACAGACAGACTGGCAGACAGACAGACTGTGTTGACCTAAAATCCCTAAAAGTCCCCACAAGGATAGTAAAGCAAGAACAATTCTCCCTCCTGGGGACATTTCCCACATCCCCATGATGCAAAGGCTATTTTAAGCTTAGGGTGTAGGGTTAGGGTTAGGAGTTAGGTTTAGGGTTTGGGTTAGGGTTACGGGTTAAGGTTAGGGTTAGGGATTAAGGAAAATAGGATTTTGAATGGAATCAAAATGTGTGTGTGTGCGTGAGTGTGCGTGCGTGTGTGTGTGTTTATGTTTCTGTGTGTGTGACAGACAGGGAGAGGGAAAAGAAAAAGAGAGAGATGCTATAATATTATAATATATTTTCATGAATACATTCATTTATCTTTCTAGGACGTGAACAAGTGACGCCATGACGACCGAGATGCAGGAGATTGCCATTACGGAGGAGAAGCCTTTACTTCCGGGTCAGCCCGATCCCGCAAAGGTCAGAGACTGTACACACACCCACATGTATATACAGGACCTCCCACCCTCTGTCATACACACATGCTCGAAACCTCAACTCTCACACATATACACATTAGATACATACCCCCTCCTCTTGCCTCATCATACATACATGCTGTCACACGCTATCTCCAAATGCCACATACATGCAGGCTGACACATACATGCATATTCTGTATCTTGTGTGTGTATGTGTTTGTGTGTAGTTGCTAGGATGGCTCAGATATGAGAGCTTGGTTGATGTCAAAGCCCTGAGGGTATGTGAGGAGAGGCTCCTCTCTCCCTGATGTTGTTGTACACAGCAGAGCTGGAGAGTATGGTGGAGATTTATACTCTCACTGCTGCCAACTGCTGGCGGTGGACAACTAGGGAAACTGCAGACTCAAAGGCATGAACCAGGGTCATATTAAAAAAATGGCTCGGAGTAGGAGTGCTGATCTGTCCATATAATGATAATTCATATAATAACTGATCCGAAATCACCACTCCTACTCTGAGACTCTTTGTGAATATGGGACCAGGACACATGTCAGTGTGTTGATACTGTGAAAAGTCTTTGCCAATGAACAGCTGCAGATATTACTTTCACAATTAGCTTCCCAGGGAGGTTCCCATATGTATTTCACAATGGTCTTGTGTGGCCGGAAATGTGTCTTGTTTTGGCTTCTTTTTTAGTCCTGACCTTTATGGTTTCTATCCATCTTGCTAGGATGCTGAGGCTGCGGCTCGGATACTGTTGGACCAGGGCCAGGTAAGATAGTTTATTTTCCTGTTACTGTATGTACGGTATGTGTGTGCATGTGTCTCGTGTCACGTGAAAGTATGTTTTCTCAACATATGTTTGTGTGTGTAGGTGTTACATAGTGTATGTAAAAGTATGTTCACTGTGTGTATTAGTGCCTGTATGTTCATATGTGCACGTGTGTGTGTAACTCTCAATTCAATTCAATTCAAGGGGCTTTATTGGCATGGGAAACATATGTTTACATTGCCAAAGCAAGTGAAATGGATAAACTAAAATGAAATAAACAATAAAAAGTGAACAGTAAATATTACAATCACACAAGTTCCCAAAAAATTAAGACATTTCAAATGTCATATTATGTCTATATACAGTGTTGTAACGATGTGCAAATAGTTAAAGTAAAAAAGGGAAAATGAATAAACATAAATATGGGTTGTATTTACAATGGTGTTTGTTCTTCACTGGTTGCCCTTTTCTTGTGGCAACAGGTCACACATCTTGCTGCTGTAATTGCACACTGTGGGATTTCACCCAATAGATATGGGAGTTTATCAATATTGGATTTGTTTTGGAATTATTTGTGGGTCTGTGTAATCTGAGGGAAATATGTGTATCTAATATGGTCATACATTTCTCTCTCTCTTTGTCATCCTCCAGGAACACAGTATTGAGACGCCTCATGGTCTCCTCCACGTGACTCTCCATGGAACCTCCAACACACGCCGTCCTGCCATCCTTACATTCCACGATGTGGGCCTAGACAGTGAGTCTCTCTCTCTCTCTCTCTCTCTCTCTCTCTCTCTCTCTCTCTCTCTCTCTCTCCATATCTTCTCTCTCTCTCTCCATATCTCTCTCTCTCTCTCTCTCTCTCTCTCTCTCTCGCTCTCTCTTAATATGTCTGTCTGTCTGTCTTCTCTCTCTCTCTCTCTCTCTCTCTCTCTCTCTCTCTCTCTCTCTCTCTCTCTCTCTCTCTCTCTCTCTCTCAATTCAATTTAAGGGCTTTATTGGCATGTTAACATTGCCAAAGCAAGTGAAGTAGGTCACAAATCTTGCTGCTGTGATGGCACACTGTGGTATTTCACCCAGTAGATAAGGGAGTTTATCAAAATTGGGTTTGTTTTCGAATTCTTTGTGGATCTGTGTAATCTAAGGGAAATATGTGTCTCTAATATGGTCATACATTTGGCAGGAGGTTAGGAAGTGCAGCTCAGTTTCCACCTCATTTTGTGGGCAGTGTGCACATAGCCTGTCTTCTCTTGAGAGCCAGGTCTGCCTACGGTGGCCTTTCTCAATAGCAAGGCTATGCTCACTGAGTCTGTACATAATCAAAGCTTTCCTTAAGTTTGGGTCTGTCACAGTGGTCAGGTATTCTGCCACTTTGTACTCTCTGTTTAGGGCCAAATAGTATTCTAGTTTGCTCTGTTTTTTTGTTAATTCTTTCCAATGTGTCAAGTAATTCTCTTTTAGTTTTCTCATGATTTGGTTCGGTCTAATTGTGTTGTTGTTGTTGTTGGTTAGCGGACCCCAGACCTCACAACCATAAAGGGCAATGGGTTCTATAACTGATTCAAGTATTTTTAGCCAGAACCTAATTGGTATGTCAAATGTTATGTTCCTTTTGATGGCATAGAAGGCCCTTCTTGCCTTGTCTCTCAGAATGTTCACAGCTTTGTGGAAGTTACCTGTGGTGCTGATGTTTAGGCCGAGGTATGTGTAGTTTTTTGTGTGCTAGGGCAACGGTGTCTAGATGGAATTTGTATTTGTCGTCCTGGCAACTGGACCTTTTTTGGAACACCATTATTTTTGTCTTACTGAGATTTACTGACAGGACCCAGGTCTGACAGAATCTGTGCAGAAGATCTAGGTGCTGCTGTAGGCCCTCCTCGGTTGGTGACAGAAGCACCAGATCATCAGCAAACAGTAGACATTTGACTTCAGATTCTAGTAGGGTGAGGCCAGGTGCTGCAGACTGTTATAGTGCCCTCGCCAATTTGTTGGTATATATGTTGAAGAGGGTGGGGCTTAAACTGCATCCCTGTCTCACCCCACGGCCCTATGGAAAGAAATGTGTGTGTTTTTTGCCAATTTTAACCGCACACTTATTGTTTGTGTACATGGATTTTATAATGTCGTATGTTTTTCCCCCAACCCCACTTTCCATCAATTTGTATAGCAGACCATCATGCCAAATTGAGTCAAAAGCTTTTTTGAAATCAACACAGCATGAGAAGACTTTGCCTTTGTTTTGTTTTGTTTGTTTGTCAATTAGGGTGTGCAGGGTGAATATGTGGTCTGTCGTACGGTAATTTGGTAAAAAGCCAATTTGACATTTGCTCAGTACATTGTTTTCACTGAGGAAATGAACTAGTCTGCTGTTAATGATAATGCAGAGGATTTTCCCAAGGTTGCTGTTGATGCATATCCCACTGTAGTTATTGGGGTCAAATTTCTATAGTGTATTTCTGTATTGTTTTAGTGATTCACCAAAGTGAAGGCGTAGGCTCAGGTTTTCTGGGTCTCTCTGTTTTTGGTTGGACAGGTTTCTCAATTTCTTTCTTAGGTTTTTGCATTCTTCATCAAACCATTTGTCACTGTTGTTACTTTTCTTCGGTTTTCTGTTAGAGATTTTTAGATTTGACAGGGAAGCTGAGAGGTCAAATATACTGTTTAGGTTTTCTACTGCCATGTTTACACCTTCACTATTACAGCGGAACGTTTTGTCCAGGAAGTTGTCTAAAAGGGATTGAATTTGTTGTTGCCTAATTGTTTTTTCGGTAGGTTTCGACACTACCTTCCTTTCATCTATAGCATTTCTTGATATTATTCCGTTCCTTTGGCTTTGATGCCTCATGATTGAGTATTGCACTGTTCAAGTAGACTGTGATTTTGCTGTGGTCTGATAGGGGTGTCAGTGGGCTGACTGTGAACGCTCTGAGAGACTCTGGGTTGAGGTCAGTGATAAAGTAGTCTACAGTACTACTGCCAAGAGATGAGCTATAGGTGTACCTACCATAGGATTCCCCTCGAAGCCTACCATTGACTTTGTACATACCCAGTGTGCGACAGAGCTGCAGGAGTTGTGACCCGTTTTTGTTGGTTATATTGTCGTAGTTGTGCCTAGGGGGGCATATGGGGGAGGGAATGCTGTCACCTCCAGGTAGGTGTTTGTCCCCCTGTGTGCTGAGGGTGTCAGGTTCTTGTCCAGTTCTGGCATTTAGGTCGCCACATACTAGTACATGTCCCTGGGTCTGGAAATGATTGATTTCCCCCTCCAGGATGGAGAAGCTGTCTTCATTAAAGTATGGGGATTCTAGTGGGGGGATATAGGTAGCACACAGGAGGACATTTTTCTCTGTTGAGATAATTTCCTTTTGAATTTCTAGCCAAATGTAAAATGTTCCTGTTTTGATTAATTTAATAGAGTGAGTTGGGTCTGCTCTATACCAAATTAGCATACCCCCTGGTAGTTTGGTGGATGGGACTACCAGCTCTCTGTAACCTAGAGGGCAACCAGTGGGTCCATCTCCTCTATACCATGTTTCTTGTAGGATGACAATGTCTGTATTTCTCTCTCGCTCTCTCTCATTCTCTTACTCTGTCTTTCCCTTTCATCTATATTTTGTTGTATCCCTTTCCCCGCTCATCCCCTCCAGCAATTTGTCCCCTTTCATTTTGAGTTTCCCCTTTCAGTTCAGTGCCTGGTCTTTCTTCATTTATGCTTTTCATGTTTTGGAAGCTTTTCAAATTTTAACTCTCTCGCTTTCTCTCTCACTTTCTCTTTCTCTTTCTCGCTTTCTCTCTCTCACTTTCTCTCTCTCTCTCGCTTTCTCTCTCTTTCGTTCTCTTTCTCTCTCCCTTTCTCATTTTCTCTCGCTCTCTCACTCTCTCACGCTCTCTCTCTCTCTCTTGCTCTCTCGCTCTCTCACTCTCTCTCTCGCCCTTTCTCTCTCTCCCTCTTTCTCTCTCACAGGTAAAAGCTGCTTCTCTCCTCTGTTTAAGTTTGAGGAGATGCAGGAGATAGTGAAAAACTTCACTCTGGTCCACATTGATGCTCCTGGCCAAGAGGAGGGGGCCGCCACCTATCCTATGGGGTATGCATAGCGTGTGTGTGAATGTGTGTGTGTTGTGTGTGTGCGTGCGTGCGTGTGTGCATTTGTGTGTGTTAGGGTTGGGCTGTATCCAGATTTTCATAACTTACAGTTTTTCTCAATTGCTAAAACACAATTTCTGAAACCTTGCTCCATTTCCTGAAAACATTAAACACAAAACCTCATCTTCAAGCACTATTTACAAAACCTCTGACTCCTCTCGCAAAATGAAACATTCGCCTCAAAACAGTTTTACCTGTGTTCAAAATCAAACACTGCTCTCAAATCATAAACAAAGTGATCAAAATGATATACACTCTCAAGCAGTCAGTAAACAATACACCGAAAAATAGAAAACACATTGTTCAAAACATACAGTTCTCAGGGAGAAGTACATTTTTAATCTCAAAACAAATTTCATATTTTTCCGTCATTGTCTTTTGATGAACGAAAACATGTTCTATCATAGTAGCTCAAAATTGATCAGAAATTACTACTCTGCATTGCTCTTTGCAATTTAGTTTTTTGTTCTTCCTCCTCCTTGTACCCCTATTTTTACAGTACTGTACCCTGCATCTCACAAACTTGTCCTTTGTCTCTGTGATACTGTAATTCTTGTTCTTTGTTGATATGAACCTGCAACCATTCAAAATCTATTGAGCAGTCAGTACTGTTAACAAATGGAAAGCACAATGTTCAGGGCCATACAATTTGTCCATTGTACAGTATACAGCCTACAATGCACTGTACTACAGTTTACAATATTAAAAGGGACAAAAATCAAAGGAGTAAACATGTGATCAATGTGCTTCTTCTTGTCTTTGGGCTGGGTCAGGCCAGAGCACTTCGTCAACATCACAAGCAATATTGTCCTCCTGAGGCAACGGGGGAAGAAGCCTCTTGTGTGCCGTATCCAGCCCTGACATGATTCCTCACCTATATCACCACAGGCTAAATCCATGGCTTGCAGCAGATTTACTCTGGTGTAGGGTTGTCTATCATACACTTTCCATCTCCAAGAGGAGAAAAACTCCTCAATCGGATTCAGGAAAGGCGAGTATGGAGGGAGGTACAAGTTCATCAACTGCCCATTGATGTTAATCCATTCCCTTACCTGAGCAGCTCGGTGGAAACTGACATTGTCCCACACTATCACATAGGTGGGAATGGGATTCTCATTTAGCTCTTGACCCTGCTGCTCTTGAACCTGCTGCTCAAATAAAATATCTCTTAGATTGGCAATAAATCTTAGAAGGTGCTGGGTGTTATATGGCCCGAGTGTAACATGGTGATGTAGAACACCATGGTTGCTGATAGCAGCACAGATTGTGACATTGCCACCTCGTTGACCAGGGACTTCAACAATGGCCCTCTGTCCAATCATGTTTCGGCCTCTCCTTCTCCTCTTTGTTAGATTGAAGCCTGCTTCATCGACAAAGATGAACTCATGGGGTCTGTCCAAGGATTCCAAGTCAAATATTGTCTGTGTAGAAATACAATACACTGTATGTAGGATTTTGTAAGTCGTACAGAGACAGTGCTATACTGTAGAGTACAATTAGGCCTACTGTATGCACTTCTGATTCACATACATTGTATGTACTGAAGAGTAATGTCATTCACATAGTATGTGTTAGTACTGTAGACAATCTGGATTACAGTAAATGTTTCTGAATGTACACTAACTTGCACATACTGAGCTCGCAGTTCTTTCACCCTTGGTGAGTTGCGCTCAAAAGGTACTCTGTATACTTGTTTAATTCCCATCCTGTTACGATGGAGGACACGGTCAATTGTGGAAATGCTCACACTGTCGATTCCCTGGAAGTGTGTGTTGTCTTGTATCACTCGTTCCTGGATTTCTCTGAGTCGTATTGCATTATCTTGAAGGACCATGCCAACTATAACGGCCTCTTGCTCCTGAGTGAATATAGCTGTCCTTCCACCTGCATGTGGCAGCCTTGCAATTCTACAAAAAGTAGCCGTGCAGTTACAAAACATATTCATGCAGTACAATACATACAGTGATTAACTTTACAAATGTCTATTGAAACAGCTGCATATAGTGTAGTACAGTACATTTGCAATTACAAAAATACAGTAGTATACTGTACCTGTTCTCTTCTCTGAATGTCCTTACTATGGTGGACACAGAAAATCGGCTCAAATTGGGTTGCACTCTAAGTCCTGCTTCCCTCATTGTCAGTCCATGGACAAGAACATGGTCTATGACTGTTGCTCGAATTTCATCAGATATTTCCACTCTTTGTCTTCCTCTTCCTCCTCCTCTTCCTCTTTCTTGCCCTCCTCCTCCTCTTCCTCCTCGTCGCCCACCTCGCATACACACTCGTCCTCGTCCTCTCACATTGTTTCTTCTATCCATTCTCAGACTTTCTCCTTCCCACCTTCAACAACCTGTTTGCTCTCTGAACTGGCTTATATTGGTTGTGTCGCATCATTTGACACAGGTTAAATCAATTTTGAGTGGTTGTGTTCAATCAATGACATGTGTTCTCTATTTGTATTTGATTGTTGCCACTTGTGTTTACCAGTATGGATGACATGTGCATTAGAGTGCAGAATGTGTTTTGAGAATGAGAATGTGTTTAGAGTTTTGCTGAAAAGTCTAAGTGAGATCTGCAAATTGTGTTTTACCATGTGAAATAGTTTAAGGTATTGACAACAGACTGCATAATTAGCTAAAGGAGTCCAGGCAACTGAGAACTTTGTTCAGCCAATGGATTTGAGTGTTTTAGCAATTGAGAAAAACTGTAATACTGTTACTGTACCATACTGGGGCATACGGTATTAACGTTAGTGCACACCAGGGGCGCCTTTTCTTTCCAAACGTTTTTTTAAAACAATATTTATGCTAACAAAGTACTAGGGAATTCCCATAGCGGACGCTAGCTTAATGCTAACAAGTGCAAGCAAACATAAACTAAATGCAAGGACAGACAACCCAGCTCATAAAGTTATACAACTATCTCAAAAGGCTACTCACACTTGATCCAGGAGGAGATTGATTGTCTCTGCTGTAACCATTAAGCTTGATCTTGCAAGCTAGCCACCTATAGCTAGCAAGTTAGCAAACCAAATGGATAGCTGGAGCCCTGAGCAGGAGGACATGTATTTGGCACATTTTAGATAGCTAGTTAACGTTTAGCTGTGTGAGAAAACATACCATGTGACTGGCTCAATTTATTTTGTATATTTTTGTTGACGGTATTGAAAATCATACAGTCAGTATTTCAAAATACCCCACTATGTACAGTATACCGCCTAAGCCTAGTGAGTGTGAGTGTGTGTGTGTGTGTGTGTGTGTGTGTGTGTGTGTGTGTGTGTGTGTGTGTGTGTGTGTGTGTGTGTATATTTAATAAACATATGTTCCCGCTCATGTTTTTTAGATACCAGTATCCATCCATGGAACAAATTGCAGAGATGATCCCTGCAGTCCTGACATATTTCAAGTGAATCAGACTTATTTCATCATCATTACATAATACTCACTTGTTTACCAGCATGTCCACCGTAATCGTTATTTTATTTTATAACGTAGTATTCACAAACATCTGCAATACAGACATGTTGGCACTAATAGAATATCTGTCACTATGTTTGTACTCTCTCACTGTTCTAGTTTCTGTACTGTCATCGGAGTTGGAGTGGGAGCTGGGGCTTACATTCTCTCCAGGTTCACAGTGAGTGTCTGATTTCACCTTGTCATGTTACTGCCCCATGTATCAGTTCATACAGCTGCCCTGTGAAAAATCACAGTGTACCATTCTGTTAGCTTCTGTTATGCAGTCTCTTGGTAGTCTGTGCATTGAACTAACATGGGTTAGCATATATTTGCTATATGGTGGCCCTCCTGTAGCTCAGTTGGTAGAGCATGGCGCTTGCAACGCCCGGGTTGTGGGTTCGTTTCCCATGGGGGGCCAGTATGAAAAATGTATGCACTCACTAACTGTATGTCGCTCTGGATAAGAGCATCTGCTAAAATGACAAAAAAAAAAATTTTAATGGTGCTCTCCACAGTGTATACCAATTCTTGCTTCTTTTTGTCAATTCATACAATTCAACAGTCTCAATGTACAATTTACTTATTTTTTTCTCTCTCTCTTTCATTCTCTCTCCTCCGCCCTCTCAGATGGCCCACCCAGACTCAGTTGAAGGTCTCGTTCTCGTCAACATCGACCCTCAGGCTAGAGGGTGGATGGACTGGGCTGCCCAGAAGGTTACTGTCTCTTCAATATGCTTAATCTTAATTTGAGCCACTTTGCCATACTGGAAATTACAAACTTTAGCCTTTTTAAGACTCAAATATACTACAAGTTTGCATTTCCTGCCATGCAGGAAAATTCTCAGCAACAAAGGAGTGATCAAATTAAGATCCTACATCTGTATAATACAGGCAACATTAGTATTAAATATTATCATTATCATCACTCAGAAGCCCAGAGGATTTTTGAATATGTTCATGAGTACTAGCAGCATTTCCATAAATGTGACTTTTAGATCCAATATCAATCCAATATCCTATTCAATATCACCATTACTCTTCTGTGTTGTTGTGTTGACATCTACATTACAATTCAAGTAGATACTCAATTACCAGTACATATATCCATTACTCTTGATCTAGCAGTTAATAAACAGTCATTACTGTCTTGGACAATGGGATATTTTGATTTTGACCATTTGATAAAGTAACATTTAGATGAGGAAAATACATAGTGGAATTGTATTCATGGTGGTTTTACTGTACGTATGATATTGACTGAGCTGTTATTGATTTGTCCTAACTATACCCCTCTCTCTCTTTCTCTCTCTCTCTCTCTCTCTCTCTCTCTCTCTCTCTCTCTCTCTCTCTCTCTCTCTCTCTCTCTCTCTCTCTCTCTTTCTCTCTCTCTCTCTCTCTCTCTCTCTCTCTGTCTCCCTTTATTTCTCTCTCTCTGTCTCCCTTTATTTCTCTCTCCCTCTCTATCTCTCTTTCTTTCTGTCTCCAGATCACTACCCTGACATCCTCCCTCACAGAGCAGATCCTGAGTCATCTCTTCAGTCAGGTGTGTGTGTGTGTGCGCCCGTGCGTGCATATGTGTGCGTGTGTCTGTGTGTGTGTGGGTGGTATCAAAGTCTGTGTGTGTTATCATAGACTGGAACCCTATGTGTGTTTTTTGACTATGGAGCTATTTTCTTGATCTTATAAAACTCACATTGTTAATGTATCATTTCTGTCTTGTTTTATAGGAGGAGATGTCAGCTAATGCAGACCTGGTGAAGTCACACAGAGATCGCATCTCTAAAGCCCCCAACCTCATCAACATCGAGCTTTTCTGGAGGGGCTACAACAGGTACATACAAACACAGACACACACACACACACTGGACACACACACACCGACACACACTGGACACACATACACACACTGGACACACACACACACACACACACACACACACTGGACACACACACACACTGGACTCTCACACACTGAACACACACACACATATTGGACACACACACACACACTGGACACACTGGACACACACACACTGGACACACACACACACACTGGACACACACACACACACACACACACACACACACACACACACACACACACACACACTGGACACACACTGGACACACTGGACACACACACACACACTGGACATACACACACACACACACTGGACACACACACGCACTGGACACACACACACACACACACACAGGCACACATGCACGCGTGCACACACACACAAACACACACACTAACAAACCTACAATAGTGTAACCTTCCTTTCCTCTTTTCCAGCCGCAGAGATCTGATCATTGACCGTACCAGTAACTTCAAGTAAGCATTTCACCATAATAATAATATAATAATAATATGCCATTTAGCAGACGCTTTTATCCAAAGCGACTTACAGTCATATGAGCATACATGTTTTACGTATGGGTGGTCCCGGGGATCGTACCCACTACCCTGGCGTTACAAGCGCCATGCTCTACCAATTGAGCTACAGAGGACCATCAAACCACTTACATCTGCTGTGACAATAGTATGGAATAGGTCTCTCACTCTTTCCATTGAATATACCTAAGAGTCTCTCTGTCTCTCTCAATCTATCTCTCTGTCTCTTCTCTTTCTCAGGTGTCCTGTGATGCTGGTGGTTGGGGATCAGGCACCTTATGAGGAGGCTGCTGTACGTTTTCTACATTATATATTTTAATGTAGGCCAACCATGTAGCCATCGAACACACCCAGGTAAAGCGAATGTAGTGATGTTGATTAATTCACATTTTCCCCTCCATGTCCACCAGGTGGAGTGCAACAGCAAACTGGACCCAACAACAACCTCATTCCTCAAGGTACTCATCACCCCCTCATTCATCAAAACAAACCACACACACAAGCCATTTTCCTCAGGCATTCAGTTGCTACTAAACACTAAATTATCCACATCTTCTTCCTCAGATGGCAGATGCTGGTGGTCTTCCCCAGCTTACCCAGGTAAGACACATTAAACATGCCAAGTCGTTAAATATATATATATATATATTTAGTTCACACAAGTTGTGAATTTAACATGTGTTGTGGTGCCAATACAGAAATACAGCACGTATCATGATGAATACAACTAACCATCCAGTAACTATTGTAATTCCTGCATGTCCATGTTATTGTACAAATATCGATTTTATATAACATATTTTATGGATAAAATGTAATGTACCTTCTGTGTTTGCTTACAGCCCAGCAAACTGACCGAGGCTTTCAAGTACTTCATCCAGGGGATGGGCTACAGTAAGTTTGCCTTAGTTTGTAATATGTGGCTATGACGACCTACTGTGACCTTTTGTGTTACTGTCTCTCTGTATTAATCGAATTATCCTCCCTCTCCCCCTCTCTCGCTCTTTTTCCCCCTCCCTCTTGCTCCCTCTCCTTCTACCACAGTGGCATCGTCCGTCATGACCCGTCTGTCTCGTTCGCGCACCACCTCGCTGTCTTCCTCGTACTCCATGGAGGGGGAGCGCGAGCGTTCTCGTACCCTGTCTCAGAGTTCTCAGGGTGGGCAGATGCCCCCCAGCCCCTCCCATACCATGGAGGTGTCCTGCTGAAGAGAGAGAGAGAGAGAGAAAGAGAGAGAGAGAGAGACAGAGAATGAGAGTTTGTGTGTGAGAGAGAGAGAGAGATAGAGAGAGGAATGGAGAGAGAGGTGGATTTAGAGAGGAATGGAGAGAGAGAGAGGGATGGGTGGAGGGCGGAGGACCAGCTGAGAGAGAGAGAGGGAGAGAGAGAGAGAGAGAGAGTGTGTTCTGGGAACGTGAATGTAAAGGAGAGGGAGAGTGAAAGACAGTTACTTAAACACTGTCATTTATGAATCTCTTCACCCAGAAAGCGAAGGATAGAGCGAATGGATAAACGAAAAAAGGAAGTATTTAGGAACAAGGGAGGGAATATAGGGAAAAGGGTAGCAAGGAAAGGGCGTTTTAGGGGCGTCAGCCAGTCCTCTCTCTCCTTCTATCGGAACATCTGCAGCCAATAGAGCCTATTAACCTAGAGAGTGGAATGGCCTGTAGTGATCTCACCTTAGTGTTCACCAGTAGTAATAATTATGATAATGGGAAAGATTGTGATGATATTAACACTATTAATAATGACAATGACAATAATGTCATAGTAATATTATTATTTTTTAAATCTCTTTATTTTTAAAGTATGAAATAGAAGGGAAAAAAGACTATAGCAGAAATACTTAAACTGAAAATGTGTGTCTGTCAAGTGTTTTTTGTTTGTTTATTTTACATTGTTTATTTTTGTAACCTGCCTCAGTGAAGGCGTGAAGTTTCTCATTGGTCACTTGATCCTTAACCATAGCAACGGCCAGTGAGAGTCTACTTCCTCCTTGCTGTTGCCAGGTAGATCATTTCTTCCATTGGCCCTGTTTAAAAGTGACTGTAATTTTTGTTCCCATGAGGGGCTTGGGTTGGGCGGGTAGGGTGTGTGTGTGTGGTCATTTGACTGTGTGGAGTATCTATACCTGATCTGATTTCAGCCCATGTGAAAATAGACTAGATGTTTCCTTTTTCTTTTATATGCGATGAGTTTGTTGGTACGTGTGTGTGTTTGTGATGTAACTGATGGGTGAGGATGATGATGAAGATGAGGACGGATGATGAAGAGTGACCTTGTTAGAGTGAGTGAACTCCTATACTAGTAAATCAGTAACAAGTGCTTCCAATGCTGATGGCAGTTCCAGACTTGACCATCAAGAAGGTGAAGAATCTGTCGATGTGCCCTTGAGCAAGGCACTTAACTCTAATTTACTCCAGGGGCTCTCTACTACTATGGCTGACCCTGTAAAAATAACATATTCTTTGGGGGTCACTGTGCTATTGGGTTTATGATGACATACGTGTACCTGCATACATACACTACTAACATATCAAAAAGATAAGTTAGCTAATACCTTCTTGAACAAGCATGCTGTACGTGTTGGGTGATCGCTAGATGTAGGTGTTGCATAGCCCTAGAGTGATGCACTGATCATGACTGATAGTTGAAAGCACCAATAGCATGTCTGTGTGTCAGACTGACAGCTGAGAGAACCAATAGCATGTCTGAAGTAGGACCTATGTAGGAGCTATTGTTCTAGAAGATGTGAGCGGGAATTAATGCTATCTGTAATTCTGTCATGCAGTGGAAGGTACTGGGTAGAGAGTGTGAATAAGGCATTATTTAAGTTGTGTGTGTGCTTGTTTGTAAGTATGTTTATTTGAAAGCTCTCAAACCTTCTAAGCACAATTTAAGATCATGTAAGTCGCTCTGGATAAGAGCGTCTGCTAAATGACTAAAAATGTAAAATGTTAAGAGGAGAGGTGAGGAAAGGACACCCACTGTCCCATTGGACCTTCTTATGATCTGCCAACAGGGTATAGCCAGCTACTACACCCTGAACCCTAGAATCCTGACTGTCCACGCTCATTTTACATTTTAGTCATTTAGCAGACACTCTTATCCAGAGCAATTAGGGTTAAGTGCCTTGCTCAAGGGCACAACGGCAGATTTGCACCTAGCCAGCTCGAGGGTTTGAACCAGCGACCTTTCGGTTACTGGCCCAACGCTCTTAACCACTAGGCTACCTGCCGCCCAGCAGTTGTACTATAGGAACTGTTCTCTGTGTGTACGAATCACAGTTAGAACTGAAGTGTTATAGACTCAAAATCTATGCTCATAACTGTTTTCTAGGAATGTAATATTATCATGATTTATATATAGTAAAACCTAAAAGACTAAAAGTATTACGATAGCAGCACATCCATGTGGAGCTCAACACTGCCCTGATCCAAACCAATGGACAGAACACACTGTTGAAGGACCCAATTAGAACAAAAAACACTTAGAGAGCTGTGTGTATGTTTTTGAGTTTGTGTGTGTGTGTATGTGTGTGTGTGAGAGAGAGTGTGTGCTTGTCTGTTTGGATTCTGTAGTTGTGCGCAGTCATTCATAATGGCGTATGTCGCATTTTATAAAAGTATGACTTTGAACTTTCCAAACCTGTTTGAGGTTTGCTTGTTTCTTTCCGTTTCTCTACAGAGCTCCTCCCCCTACATCACTTTCTTATACATTTAGTAGAGCGGGTTGGATGGTTGATGATATTGAAGAATCTGAGGTTAAGTCGGATGAGAAGGGTATTTTGATGATGATGGTGGTGGTGATGGTGATGATATTTCTAGATATTAACAGGAATGTTGTGTTGACGATGAGGAGAAGGGTGATGAAGACTGAAGAATAGAAGGAATGATTAGGCTCCTCCCAGTCTTGCATTGAGAATCAACCAATCTGGCATGGTGTACCAAAAAAAAAGACAACGGGTGAAGCTTAATAGTTTACCAAGAAAAGGGGGTGGAACTTATTGTTTGAGTGGACTAGGGCTGTGTGAATGTACATTTGTCCATTTATTTTCTGTTTATTCTTGTTTTTCCTTCGATCATATTATTTTTCCAACTTTATTTTGGACAATTTTGTTTTACTACGTGAAGTGTTAGTTTCCCGTCCCAGTTAGAGCACAAGTTAGACAACAGTGTGTTAGTTCTTGTGTAAAAAGGAAGAATAATAGAAATCATTAACATAAAAAAGTTAAAGAATAACAAAATACAATCAAACATACTTGTGTGGCTAATTTGTCTGTATAATTCAATGAACAACCTAAAAAATGTAATAATATTAAAAGAAGAAGAAAGAAGAAATCTTGACTATGTTATTTTTTCATTATTAGTCAAATGGGTGGTATTAAAAATGGCATTGGAGTGAGTTTAAGTAAGAGAGAAGATTGGGAATTGCTTGTAAAAAAATTAATATATATATATATATATATATATATATATATATACAGCACCAGTCAAAAGCTTGGACACACCTACTCATTCAAGGGTTTTTCTTCATTTTTACTATTTTCTACATTGTAGAATAATAGTGAAGACATCAAAACGATGAAATAACACATATGGAATCATATAGTAACCAAAAAAGTGTTAAACAAATCAAAATATATTTTAGATTTTAGATTCTTCAAATAGCCACCCTTTGCCTTGATGACAGCTTTACACATGCTTGGCATTCTCTCAACCAGCTTCATGAGGAATGCATTTCCAATAGTCTTGAAGGAGTTCCCACATATGCTGAGCACTTGTTGGCTGCTTTTCCTTCACTCTGCGGTCACACTCATCCCAAACCATCTCAATTGATTTGAGGCCGGGTGATTGTGGAGGCCAGGTCATCTGATGCAGCACTCCATCACTCTCCTTCTTGGTCAAATAGCCCTTACACAGCCTGGAGGTGTGTTTTGGGTCAGTGTCCTGTTGAAAAACAAAAGATAGTCCCACTAAGCGCAAACCAGATGGGATGGCGTATCACTGCAGAATGCTGTGGTAACCATGCTGGTTAAGTGTGCCTTGAATTCTAAATAAATCACAGACATTGTCACCAGCAAAGCACCCCCACACCATCACACCTCCTCCGCCATGCTTCACGGTGGGAACCACGAATGCGGAGATCATCCGTTCACCTACTCTGTGTCTCACAAAGACACAAATCTCCAAAAGGACAGATTTCCACCCGTCTAATGTCCATTGCTCTTGTTTCTTGGCCCAAGCAAGTATTTTATTCGTATTGGTGTCCTTTAATAGTGGTTTCTTTGCAGAAATTCGACCATGAAGGCCTGATTCACACAGTCCCCTCTGAACAGTTGATGTTGAGCCCATTTCAGATCAAATCAAATCAAATCAAATTTGATTGGTCACATGCGCCGAATACAACAGGTGCAGACATTACAGTGAAATGCTTACTTACAGCCCTTAACCAACAGTGCATTTATTTTAAACAAAAAAAGTAAGAATAAAACAACAACAATTTGGGCTGCAATCTGAGGTTTAGTTAACTCTAATGAACTTATCCTCTGCAGCAGAGGTAACTCTGGGTCTTCCTTTCCTGTGGCAGTCCTCATGAGAGCCAGTTTCATTATAGCACTTGATGGTTTTTGCGACTGCACTTGAAGAAACTTTAAAAATTCTTGAAATTTTCCGGATTGACTGACCTTCATGTCTTAAAGTAATGATGTACTGTCGTTTCTCTTTGCTTATTTGAGCTGTTCTTGCCATAATATGGACTTGGTCTTTTACCAAATAGGGCTATCTTCTGTATACCACCCGTACCTTGTCACAACACAACTGATTGGCTCAAACGCATTAAGAAGGAAAGAAATTCCACAAATGAACACCTGTTCATTGAAATGCATTCCAGGTGATTACCTCATGAAGCTGGTTGAGAGAATGCCAAGCGTGTGCAAAGCTGTCATCAAGGCAAAGGGTGGCTACTTTGAAGAATCTCAAATATAAACTATATTTTGATTTGTTTAACACTTTTTTGGTTACTACATGATTCCATATGTGTTATTTCATAGTTTTGATGTCTTCACATATATTCTACAATGTAGAAAACAGTAAAAATAAAGAATAACCCTTGAATGAGTAGGTGTGTCCAAACATTTGACTAGTACTGTATATATATACTGAACAAAAATATAAACGCAACATGCAACAATTTCAAATATTTTACTGAGTTACAGTTCATAAGAAAATCAGTCAATAGAAATAAATGAATTATGCCCTAATCTACAGATTTCACGACTGGGCACGGGCACAGCCATGGGTGGGCCTGGGAGGGTATAGACCTACCTACTTGGGAGCCAGGCCCACCCACTGGAGAGCCAGGCCCAGCCACTGGGGAGCCAGGCTGAGTTTTTACCCACAAAAGCGCTTTATTAAAGACAGTCATTTGAGAGAAATAAGCTTTTTGTGTGTATATACAATTTTGGGATCTTTTATTTCAGCTCATGAAACATGGGACCTACACTTTACATGTTGCGTTCATATTTTTTTATATTTTTGTTCAGTGAATTAATGAATGTCTATTGTGTGTATGTTTATGTTCGAGAACAGCTATGACCAAGCCACAGTTTTGCCTTCCGCTGTACTTATCCATATACGGTACCTTTTCTGTTGCTGTTGCTCACCTCATTGCTAACACACACAACACACTGCATTTTTCTACAGACAACAATATAAGGACCTGAGGCCTCATTTATAACCGTTGCGTAAATTTTACACTAAATATCTGCCTGCGCTATTTCCGAAAAGACTGCGCACGCACAGAAATATTGAAATGGCGCACGCCATACATACGCATGTTTCCTATTATAAATCAGACCTGTCGGAAAACTGTGCACGCGTGAAGGAGCATTATAACTCCGCCTGAATAACGCCCATCATTCACCTTTTATGGTGACAATAACACCCTTATTTGCTGTATACTTTGGACATTTTTGGAATTAGGCCAAGACAGTATTTCTAAAGGAAATATCAATGGCAAACTTGATCAAATGTTTTTGGAGGTTGTTTTTTGTTTTAAAAAATAAAAAAACAAATATTAACCCATCCCTCTTCACATATATTTTTAATTTTTTTATTCACAGCTTTTCTGCTACATATACATACATTTTACATACATGGTACTTTTATATAAAGCAATCACATAACAATAATACATTACCAAACAAAAGCGCTTTAATCACACCCCTCAGCCACTCTCAGCCCATCTCACCTATCACCATAGACCACCCTCGTGCCATGTATTTTTCAATTGTGCTGTGATGTTTGACATAAATATTGAACCTTTCTAATCGTATAGTATCCACAGATGAAAACCTTTCCTACGAGTGTTATTATATTATTTATTGACTGACTATGGTGTTCCAAATCGCCCAACACTGCTATTTGTAAGTTACATTTTATAATAATAATAATAATAATATGCCATTTAGCAGACGCTTTTATCCAAAGCGACTTACAGTCATGCGTGCATACATTTTTTTGGTGTATGGGTGGTCCCGGGGATCGAACCCACTACCTTGGCGTTACAAGCGCCGTGCTCTACCAGCTGAGCTACAGAGGACCACATTTTAAGTGAATGTTGTGATTTTTTAACCATTCCTGAACCTGTGACCAGAAACAAGCTACATAGGGGCAATACCAGAATAAATGATCTAGTGATTCTGTCTCTTCGCAGCAAAATCTACAGAGCTGAGATTGTTGTATGCCCCATATATATAGCATTCTGTTGGTGGCAAAAATGTTGTATAATAATTTAATTTGAAAAACTTGAAGTGTTGAATCAACATGTGTTGCATCACTGTGCGTATGCATAGTCTAAAGTTTGCGGGAGGATAAACACATTCTCACCTCAAGTTCAGTTTTTCTAAACGCCAACTTTTGCGTGAAAACTGGCGCAAGCATGTTTTGGGGCATATTATGTGGGTACACAACGTTATTACATGAGGCCCCTGGCCTAGCTAGAGAAACCCAACTCCTCTCTCTACATAACCTGTTACTACTCAGTACTCTCATATACTGTACATTTCCCTGTTTGTCTGAAAATGTTGCTAGCTGGTTAGAAAAAACAACTTATCCACCATTCACACAACATACCAATTATAATACTATGTCAACACTGATACACATATTATGGTCAGTCCCACAGAACAGTCTGAGTGCGGCATTAGCCATTTCACTGGATGATATCATCTGATTATTCAAGTTATTGATCAAAAAGAGTGAGATGGAATTCAGTTGGGTAACACTTTATTTGGATAGTCTACAGACTATCAGTAACATTTCAACTAACTACCTACTAACCCTAACCCTTATCCTAACCCTAAACTTAATCCTAACCCTAGCACTAACCCTAACCGTAACCTTAGCAAGTGGTTGCTTGTCAACATACAGTTTGTTGATAGTATGAACATCTGTAGAGCATCTACAGATGGACTATCCGGCCTATCCAAATAAAGTGTGACCTTCAGGGGTAGTTGATATGGAGCAGCTGATATCATGAATGACTGGGGCTGAATGACATATTCAGGGACAAATCAAAGTTGTAAATATTTGAAAAAGGACTGAGGGAAATATCCTGACATTTCAGAAAGAGTACTGCTCTTTGGAAACTCTAGTTGAAGACCAGGTTACAAATTACAACATATACAGTGTATTCGGAAAGTATTCAGACCCCTTGACTTTTCCACATTTTGTTACGTCACAGCCTTACTCTAAAATGGATTAAATTATTTTTTCCCCCTCATAAATCTACACACAATACTCCATAATGACAAAGCAAAAAACGTTTGCCAAATGTATACAAAATAAAAAACGGAAATATTATATTTACATAAGTATTCAGACCCTTTACTCAGTACTTTGTTGAAGCACCTTTGGCAGTGATTACAGCCTCGAGTCTTCTTGGGTATGATGCTACAAGCTTGGCACAACTGTATTTGGGGAGTTTCTTCCATTCTTCTCTGCAGATCCTCTCAAGCTCTGTCAGTTGGATGGGGAGCATCGCTGCACAGCTATTTTCAGGTCTCTCTAGATATGTTAGATCAGGTTCAAGTCCGGGCTCTGGCTGGGCCACACAAGGACATTCAGAGACTTGTCCCGAAGCCACTCCTGCGTTGTCTTGGCTGTGTGCTTAGGGTCGTTGTCCTGTTGGAAGGTGAACCTTCGCCCCAGTCTGAGGTCCTGAGCGCTCTGAAGCAGGTTTTCATCAAGGATCTCTCTGTGCTTTGCTCCATTAATCTTTCCCTTGATCCTGACTAGTCTTCCAGTCCCTGCCGCTGAAAAACATCCCCACAGCATGATGTTGCCACCGCCATGCTTCACTGTAGGGATGTTCCCAGGTTTCCTCCAGACATGACGCTTGGCATTAGGGCAAAGAGTTCAATCTTGGTTTCATCAGACCAGAGAACCTTGTTTCTCATGGCCTGAGAGTCCTTTAGGTGCCTTTTGGCAAACTCCAAGCGGGCTGTCATATGCCTTTTACTGAAGAGTGGCTTCCGTCTGGCCACTCTACAATAAAGGCCTGATTGGTGGAGTGCTGCAGAGATGATTGTCCTTCTGGAAGGTTCTCCCATCTCCACAGAGGAACTCTGGAGCTCTATCAGAGTGACCATCGGGTTCTTGGTCACCTCCCTGACCAAGGCCCTTCTCCCCCGATTGCTCAGTTTAGCCGGGCGGCCAGCTATAGGAAGAGTCTTGGTGATTCCAAACTTCTTCCATTTAAGAATGATGGAGGCCACTGTGTTCTTGGGGACCTTCAATGCTGCAGAAATATTTTGGTACCATTCCCCAGATCTGTGCCTCGACAAAATCCTGTCTTGGTACTCTACGGACAATTCCTTCGACCTCATGGCTTGATTTTTGCTCTGACATGCACTGTCAACTGTGGGGCCTTATTTACACAGGTGTGTTCCTTTCCAAATTATGTCCAATCAATCGAATTTACCACAGGTGGACTCCAATCAAGTTGTAGAAAATCTCAAGGATGATCAATGTTAACAGGATGCACCTGAGCTCATTTTCGAGTCTCATAGCAAAGGGTCTGAATACTTATGTAATGTATTTAAGGTATTTCTGGTTTTTATTTTTAATAGATTTGCAAAAATTTCTGAAAACCTGTTTTTGCTTTGTCATTATGCGGTATTGTGTGTAGATTGATGAGGAAAAAATGTAATGTCATCAATTTTAGAATAAGGCTGTAACGTAAACAAAATGTGGAAAAAGGAAAGGGGTCTGAATACTTTCCGAATGTACTGTATGTACTCATATGTATTCAAAATACTTTGAAATAGATACAGCTAGGTCCATAATTATTGGCACCCTTGATAAAGATTAGCAAAAAAGACTGTATAAAATAAATAATACAAATACTGAGATACAGTATATTGTATGCAAAAAAGAAAGGGACATTATATTATTTTATATTAATACAATTGCTCAGAGAAATATATTTTGTTTAACAAGTAAAAATAAAAAGTAAAAAAAGATAGGGGGCAAAATCATTGTCAGCCTTGTTTTCAAAACTCCAACACAGACTTTTTCTAAAATGTTTTATGAGATTTCAGAACATGTTGGGAGGGATCTTAGACCATTCTGCCATACAGAATCTTTCCAGATCCTTGATATATTTTGTCTGCCTCAAGTGTCAGCCTCCTAGCAGAGGCAATCTGGTTTTTGGATAAAATGTCCTGGTACTTGGTAAAGTTCACGATGCCATTGACCTTAACAGGGGCCCCAGGACCAGTGGAAGCAAAATAGCCACATAACAAAGAGAATGTGCAAAGAGTGTGCAAAGCTGTCATCAAGGCAAAGGGTGGCAACTTTGAAGAATCTCATATAAAATATATTTTGCTTTGTTTTACACTATGTGTCATTTCATAGTTTTGATGTCTTCACTATTATTCTACAATGTAGAAAATAGTAAAAATAAAGAAAAACCCTGGAATGAGTAGGTGTGTCCAAACTTTTGACTCGTACTGCAGATCTGGGACTGTGAAACCTCCCCATGAAGTAAAAAAAATATGACTCAATGGTAGGAAGGACATCCATGCAGTATGTACAGTTGAAGTCATACGTTTACATACACCTTAGCCAAATACATTTAAACTCAGTTTTTCACAATTCCTGACATTTAATCCTAGTAAAAATTCCCTGTCTTAGGTCAGTTAGGATCAACACTTTATTTGAAGAATGTGAAATGCCAGAATAATAGTAGAGAGAATGATCTATTTCAGCTTTTATTTCTTTCATCACATTCCCAGTGGGTCAGAAGTTTACATACACTCAATTAGTATTTGGTAGCATTGCCTTTAAATTGTTTAACTTGGGTCAAACGTTTCGGGTAGCCTTCCACAAGCTTCCCACAATAAGTTGGGTGAATTTTGGCCCATTCCTCCTGACAGAGCTGGTGTAACTGAGTCAGGTTTGTAGGACTCTTTGCTCTCATACGTTTTTTCAGTTCTGCCCACACATTTTCTATAGGATTGAGGTCAGGGCTTTGTGATGGCCACTCCAATACCTTGACTTTGTTGTCCTTAAGCCATTTTGCCACAACTTTGGAAGTATGCTTGGTGTCATTGTCCATTTGGAAGACCCATTTGCGACCAAGCTTTAACTTCCTGACTGAATTTTTTTTTTTTTTCACCTTTATTTAACCAGGTAAACCAGTTGAGAACAAGTTCTCATTTACAACTGCGACCTGGCCAAGATAAAGCAAAGCAGTGTGATAAAAACAACAACACAGAGTTACATATGGGGTAAAACAAAACAAAGTCAAAAATACAACAGAAATACATATAATATACAGTGTGTGCAAATTTAGCAAGTTATGGAGGTAAGGCAATAAAATAGGCTATAGTGCAAAATAATTACAATTAGTATTAACACTGGAATGATAGATGTGCAAGAGATGATGTGCAAATAGAGATACTGGGGTACAAATGAGCAAAATAAATAACAATATAGGGATGAGGTAGTTGTGGCGGGCTAATTTCAGATGGGCTGTGTACAGGTGCAGTGATCGGTAAGGTGCTCTGACAACTGATGCTTAAAGTTAGTGAGGGAGATAAGTGTCTCCAGCTTCAGAGATTTTTGCAATTTGTTCCAGTCATTGGCAGCAGAGAACTGGAAGGAATTGCGGCCAAAGGAGGTGTTGGCTTTGGGGATGACCAGTGAGATATACCCGCTGGAGCGCAGACTACGGGTGGGTGTTGCTATGGTGACCAATGAGCTAAGATAAGGTGGGGATTTGCCTAGCAGTGATTTATAGATGGCCTGGAGCCAGTGGGTTTGGCGACGAATATGTAGTGAGGACCAGCCAACAAGAGCGTACAGGTCACAGTGGTGGGTATTATATGGGGCTTTGGAGACAAAACGGATGGCACTGTGATAGACTACATCCAATTTGCTGAGTAGAGTGTTGGAGGCTATTTTGTAAATGACATCGCCGAAGTCAAGGATCGGTAGGATAGTCAGTTTTACGAGGGCATGTTTGGCAGCATGAGTGAAGGAGGCTTTGTTGCGAAATAGGAAACCGATTCTAGATTTAACTTTGGATTGGAGATTCTTAATGTGAGTCTGGAAGGAGAGTTTACAGTCTAACCAGACACCTAGATATTTGTAGTTGTCCACATACTCTAGGTCAGACCCGTCGAGAGTAGTGATTCTAGTCGGGTGGGCGGGTGCAAGCAGCGTTCGGTTGAAGAGCATGCATTTAGTTTTACTAGTGTTTAAGAGCAGTTGGAGGCTACTGAAGGAGTGTTGTATGGAATTGAAGCTCGTTTGGAGGTTTGTTAACACAGTGTCCACTGATGTCTTGAGATGTTGCTTCAATATATCCACATAATTTTCCTTCCTCATGATGCCATCTATTTTGTGAAGTGCACCAGTCCCTCCTGCAGCAAAGCAGCCCCACAGCACCGTAGTCTGGCTTTTTTATGGCGGTTGTGGAGCAGTGGCTTCTTCCTTGTTGAGCAGCCTTTCAGGTTATGTCGATATAGGACTCGTTTTACTGTGGATATAGATATTTTTGTACCTGTTTCCGCCAGCATCTTCACAAGGTCCTTTGCTGTTGTTCTGAGATTGATTTGCACTTATCGCACCAAAGTACATTCATCTCTAAGAGACAGAACGCATCTCCTTCCTGAGTGGTATAATGGCTGCGTGGTCCCATGGTGTTTATACTTGAGTACTATTGTTTGTACAGATGAATGTGGTACCTTCAGGCATTTGGAAATTGCTCCCAAGGATGAACCAGACTTTTGGAGGTCAACCAATTTTTTTTCTGAGGTCTTGGCTGATTTCTTTTGATTTTCCCATGATGTCAAGCAAAGGGACACTGAGTTTGAAGGTAGGCCTTGAAATACATCCACAGGTACACCTCCAATTAACTCAAATGATGTCAATTAGCCTATCAGAAGCTTCTAAAGCCATGACATCATTTTCTGAAATTTTCCAAGCTGTTTAAAGGCACAATCAACTTAGTGTATGTAAACTTCTGACACACTGGAATTGTGATACCTTCGCGTCATTGACCGCACTTCCTCCTTGAGGCGAGAACAACTGGTCGGGCCGCATTTTAGCGCTGGGATGAAAATATAAAGGGGAGGGACGTCCGGTCCATAACAACACCATCACCAGCAAGATTTGTCCAGCAATTAATAGGTGCGCTTGATTTAGCAATTCAGCTCGCCCTGCGCGGGTAGGTCAAGAGGGGGGTTTCACTTTGTGACCGTTCCATTGGTTCTACAGAGCGACGAGGGGACGAAATCAATCGCTGTCCATCAATCATCCAATCACCAGCGCATGCAGCGTAGACTGTTTTGTCAAGTAGCGCAGACTGTTTTGCCAAGTAGCGCAGTTGGAAATACTAGTTTGGCAACTAGTGAATTTATTCCAGTACAACCTTTCGTTTAGTGCAAACGATAGCTTACAGAATCGGATATCAACACAACAACCATGGTAAGATCAAACTAATTTAACTGTTTTCTTGACAAGTAATAGGCCTACCATGGAAATATTACCGACACATTCGTTTGTGTCAAATCACAACTCTTTAAACTCTTGAATAATTCTAAAATATTATTTCAGATCAATAAGATTTCAGTTCAATAAGAGTTGAACATCCAACATTTTACTTTTGTAACAAGAAGATCAAACTCCATTGTGCTTTGGTTTGTACTTCTTTCTCTGTCAGGATAAAGAGGAGGAGAGGGAAGGGGAACAGCGTGAGCCCGTGGAAGGGTTTTTGGGGGAGAGAAGACCGGTGAGTAAGATTCTGGGCCAGGTTTCCCAAAAGCATCTTGATGCTAAGTTTATCGTTAGAACCATAGCATGGATCATGGTTCTAAAGATGAACTTAGCCTTGAGATGCTTTTGTTCAATACTTCAGTTCAACTCCTCTCACCTCCTATGCCCTAAATGAAAGCATCTTGACTAGGCCTTTTTTTAAACCTTGAACTTAATGTGCAAAGCATGTTGTCAGGTTGTTACCCACAAAGTACAGTAGTAGGCCCTACAGTATGTGTATGCTTATTATATAGAGAGCTATTTTTTTCTCATTAGCTGTAGCTCAGGAACTGTGTTGGCATGGCATTGTGTCTGAAATTCTTTCAGGGCAGTTGATTGAAAAGTATGTTCCTTGTTATGTCAGGTATTCTGGATGCCCTTTAAGAATATTGCAAAACAGCCTGATTAATCAACCCACCTGATACTAAAAAATATGTGGAATTTGGACAGTCCTTCTTAGGTTGTCTGGTGTATATTTTGCTTACCATTTTCGTACACAACACAAGGTTAATTATCCACTGTAGACAAGCAAGCACTGTATACCCTTAGAGTATAGCCAAGCAAGAAAACAATACATATAGTAGCTATAGGCATTCATTCATGGAGTCATTTAATATTTGTTTTAAAATTCTTTCAGAGTATCATGAGACTACAGGGGATGTTGAGGAGAGTCTCCCAAAGTCCCTTCTACAAATCATACAGGGTAAACAACATTGACACACACACACACACACAAGCTCAAATCAAAATCAAATGTATTTATAAAGCCCTGTTTACATCAGCAGATGTCACAAAGTGCTTATACAGAAACCCAGCCTAAAACCCCAAACAGCAAGCAATGCAGATGTAGAAGCACGGTGGCTAGGAAAAACTCCCTAGAAAGGTCTGAACCTAGAGAGGAACCAGGCGCTGAGGGGTGGCCAGTCCTCTTCTGGCTGTGCCAGGTGGAGATTATAAGAGTACATGGCCATTAGGGCCAGATTGTTCTTCAAGATTCAAAACATTCATAGATGACCAGCAGGGTCAAATAATGATCAGTGGTTGTAGAGGCTGCAACAGTTCAGTACTTCAGGAGTAAATGTAAGTTGGCTTTTCATAGCCGAGCATTCAGAGGTAGAGAGAGAGAGAGGCGGAAACAGCAGGTCCGGGACAAGGTAGTTTGGCGAACAGGTTATGGTTCCATAGCTGCAGGCAGAACAGCACCAGGTAGACTGGGGACAACCAGGAGTCATCAGGCCAGGTAGTCCTGAGGCATTGTCCTAGGGCTCAGGTCCTCTGGGAGAGAGAGAGAGAAAATTAGAGGGAGCATACTTAAATTCACACAGGACACCAGATAAGACAGGAAAATTACACCAGATATAACAGACTGACCCTAGCCCCCCGGCACATACATTCTCTTTCAGACTCCTATCCCCTCCACTTCAGAATCCAGAGATTGCTCCATCAATGACACTCACCTGAAGCAGGTTAGACTGCATTATGGGGCAACTGTTAATGGTAAATGTTTCTCATCAATTCCCATTTATTTGTTACCCTATTTTATGTTTAAATCTCTCTCTCTCTCTCTCTCAGAATGGAATCAATCGCAGCTTGTCAAACGATAATCCATTATTCTCTTATATGAAAGTAAGTCTTTATCAGTGACATTGCATTTTCACTAGGTCTCTAACCTACCATTTGTATGGTGGTATGACACATATGTACAAAAATATTGATAATGACTGTTTTGTTTGACTTATGTGTTCATTTGCCTACATGATGAGTCTGGTGTTGGTCTTTTTAACCCGCAGGAATCGAGCAGTGTGACTATTGACGGGGACACTGAGAATCAGGATTCAGAGGTTCTACGTCAGCAGAGTTTAGCCACCATCTTTGCTCCTCCGCCTGAGTTTCAGAGCACAACAGAGGACATCAAACCTGACAAAAAACAGACAGACAACAACCTTCAGACCACACCATCTGATCAGCAGACATATATTTTCAAAACCATGTCTGAAAGACGGTCACCGGATCTCTTCAAAACAACACCCCTAACTCAAAACACACCAACAAATTTGAGCCATAGTCCTTTATTTGTCACAACTTCTGAAAGACTGGAGCTTTGGAAAACTCCTTCAAACCAACAGGACCTATTCAAAACTCTGCCGTCAAAAACACCAGACCCATTCCAAGTTCCTCCCACCAAGGGAGAGTACCTATTCAATGCTCCTCCCACCAAGGGAGAGGACCTATTCCAAACTCCACCCACCAAGGGAGATGATCTTTTCAATGCTCCGCACACAAAGGGAGATTACCTATTCAAAGCTCCGCCCTCAAAAACGGCAGACATATTCCAAGCCCCTCCTACCAAGGGAGATGACTTCTTCCAAGTGCCACCTACAAATGGAGATTACTTATTCAATGCTCCTCCCAACAAGGGAGAGGACCTATTCCAAGCTCCTCCAACTAAGGATCATGACCTATTCCGAGCCCCATTGTCCATTCAAAAGGACCACTTCCAATCCACTCCTTCTGACACGCCCAATCTCATTCAAGCCACGCCTACTAGGTCAAATTACTCTTTCCAAACTCCCTCCTCCAATGTGACACCAGACATCTTTCAACCTCTGCCTTCCAGGACATGGGACATTTTCCATTCCTCGCCCAATGACATCTTTCAGGGTGCCTCTTTCAGTACTCAGTCTACAGTCAAACAGTCCACACCTTTATTCCAGACTTCATCAGGGCAGAAAACAGACATCTTCTCAGGGTCAGATTTTGAGAAGACTGCTGAGCTCTTCAATGCATCACTCTCCAACACGCAGGCTTTCAACCTTGCAACACCCTCTGATAAACAGTATGACATCTTCCTGATGACCCCTCACGGAACCAAACATGATGTTCTCCGACCCAACCATACTGCTTTGAAACATGGTACCCTCCAGGCCAGATCCCTGTCCCCCACGCAGGCTTTAAATGGTTCCCCCCAGGTAACTTACAAGTGTTTTTCCTCACATCTTCGTACAGTCTTTGATATCCATGTGACCTCTTCTTCCTTCATTGCAAAGAGTGACATGTTGTGAACTCTCAGGTGAAGACCTCCAACAGCCCTCCCAAACCAGCTCCTCGAAAAAGACAGCCCAAGCTACCAAGTCTTGTAAGGACACCACAATACGTTGAACAGCAGTTAAATGACGGAACTGTTCTACAACTTTCAGTAGACAAGACGGTGTAGTATATGAACATTGTTATCTCTCTCTCCGTTGTTGATCTGAGAATAACATTCTGGTTTTACAGGACAACAAATCGGAGGAGGAGGTCTTCGAGAACATTCTTCTGACTGGCCAGGTATCAACAAGAGGGGCACCACTTGGACAGAATGAGTGTTGAACTTTTATCTTTGACTGTCTTATTACTGTGTGTACTGAACTCGGGTAACTTTGTGAAACCCAAAACAGGAGAGGTGTGTGGAGGATTGGCCTGAAGACAGTCCTGAGCTCAATCCTGACTGGAAACCTGTAAGAAACATACTAATATAATGGCTTTTCTACATGTTCATTGTTTGCATTAAATGATCAACTCCTTGCCACACTCCTACCTATATTACTATATATTTTATTTAACATAAATCTATTTTACATTGACTAGCCTAAAAGTTAATTAATAACTGTTTGATGTATCTTTTTCCCCTCGTCAGTCTGGCAAGCTGAGGCTTAGGAGGGAGTCAATGAAGGTGAAGGTAAAGTCATCACATCAGTTTTTACTGAAATTTGTGCTTAGTGATGGTCAGTTGATACTGCAGGAGTAAAGGTGGATGGTATTTCTGTGCCTCACACATCCTCTCTCCTATCTCTCGCTCTCCTCTCTCCTATCTCAGGTGGCAGCAGACTCTGATGGGGGGAGTGTAGAAGAAGAACTGGAAGAGAATGGCCCTGCAAAACGTGGGAAAACCGTATGTCTTACTCTCTGTTTTTGTATTTGTTTTTGTAGTTAAGTTTCTGATTTCTTTCTACATTTATATCCCTTTGTTTTGTTTGAAACTTTTTAGACGTTTTCTTTTTTTATTTCAGAAAAAGTTCAGGGTATCCTTTCTTTCCAGAAGAGGGTCAAAGGTAAATCAAACGTTTTATGAATTATGTAGATATGTTATGCTGCTGTAGTCAATAAACATGTTTTTATTCTATAGGATAAATATTCTGAAGACCTGAAGGATCGTGACAGCGGCACACTACGTCGAGGATCAAAGGTGAGGACTGTGTTATCTTTAATTAATTGTATGTGTGATTGTGTATGTAGCTATATGGAAATTCTTATTGTCAATGTTTAATGTGTCATTTTTTGGTTTAGGATAGATTTTCTGAATCCAAGGATGGAGAGAGCAATAGTCTCCGTCGGCGGTCAAAGGTGAGTGTCTTCCTCTGTAAAGATTGTAATGAATTAAGATGTTTAATACAGTATTCATTACTTTAATGTGTTGTCCAGGAGGGCTTTCTGGATGAAGACTTCCCAAAGAAAGGGGTAGATGTCTTCTCTGCAGATTACGAAGATAAGGAGAATTACATGGAGCACGGCAAGCCGGTATTTCATATTTTTAACCAGTTCGTTTTGAAAGTCTGTTTGTTGTGCAACTTTCATTCATTTAGTATCGTAAGTGTTTAAACTTCCTTTCCCCTCAACAGAAGAAATCATTCAAATTCAAAATGCCCCTTGTGCATCGCAGAGGATCTAAGGTATAATTGAATATATAATTTAGGGAAGGGGTGTTTAAATAATATAACAATTTGTTAGAATAACATTTATTTTTTATTTTTAGGATCGATTTTCAGCTGAACGTCTTGAAAAAGCTTCAGGCCTACATTCGCCTCAACATAGAGCTAAGGTATAATTTTTTATATCTGTGTGTTTGTAAACAAAAAGAGCAATATATTGGTGTACAAAATCTGAATTGACATATTCCTGTGGTGCGTTTTCCAGGAGGGCTTGCTAGATGATGACTTTCCTCAGAAGAAAGCAGGTTTCATATCTGCAGGGGAGAATGAAGATGAAGAATGGAATGGGATGGAAGACTGCAAACAGGTACCTATCTTCTTTATATTTCTAGTTTTTTGACAAAAGTGCCGGTCTTAACACTGATCCCTGTGGAACACCACATATGGTTTGTTGTTTAACAGCCCGTGGGTTTGGATGAGAACTCTGAAGAGGAGGCAGAAGAACGTGATGGGACGGGTGCATTTGTATGTTTTTTCTCATGCTTATCACTTTTAGGAAATTGACAACTATATCGTATGAGTTTTGTTTTGAAAAAGATTGTTTCAATCTCAATGATATAAGTTTTAGACAATCTTTTTTTTTTTTTAACAGGAAAAAAGTAAACGGGTCAAAATTAAGTTTGTGCCTCAGAGAGGGTTCGCAATCTGCCTCGAAAAGGTAAGGAGGGAAACGTGTACAGGAGGCTAAATGCACATGCTTTTGTATTCATGCAATTATTAAATGTTAATGCTAAGAATGTTTTATTGTAGAGTTCCCAGGATGAACCAACAGGCGCTCGTGGATACACACCTCGCAGAGGCTCAAAGACGCTTCATGTATGTATATACTGTGTGTGAAAATACTTGTGACAAACACAATATATTCGTTTCTATACACTTTTTTTCCTTTTGCCCATATGCAGTAATCATGAGTGTTTGTGGTAATGTGTTTCTTAGGAGAAACCTCTTGTTGAACTTAAAGGTGCCAATGGTTATACACCCCGCAAGGAGTCCAAGGTACTGCGAGTTTCTATGCATGAACTCTATGTACACAGTACTATGTACAGTCATATTTTAGTGCTTCAACATTTCTTTATTCTTTTGTAGGTTAGTATTTTTGAGGAAACAGAAGAAGTGAAAGGCTACGTCCCTCAGTCACACCCCAAGGTTGTGTGTGTGTCTGTGTCCTAATTGTCTGTGTAGTTGTATTTGTGCCAACTCAAATTATTCTATGCTGTACATGCTGTTCAATGTACAAAGAAAATGTAACATGACAGCATAAATGTTTAATTTATTTCATGTTTTTCTTTCAGCAGAGCTTTTTGGATGATTACTTACCTGAGAAGGGGGCATGTTTCTTCTCGGCAGGAGAGGTAGAAGAATATCAACAGAATGTGATGGAAGACTGCAAACCGGTACTTCTCTCTTTCTTTCACATCCCTCACTTCCACTGGCTGCATTTTATTTAACCTAATGACATGATAAGCATTGTTTTACTTCTACAGAAGAAACCGTTCAAATTAAAAGTCCTACATATGAATCGTCGGAAATCTGGGGTAAGGTTTCTGTGTGGTTGTGCTTTGTTTCTATTTTTGGGTAAGACCGTTTTCTTTATAGAACAAGATGGTCAAGTTGTGAATGTTAGTGCATTCTTTTTCATTCTTACAGAGTGCCGAGGAGAATCCACAGATTAGTAGTACACAACAGTACTCCCCACAAAGGAGATCAGAGGTTCACTTATTATTATTTTAGTTTTCCATTTGAGCAAATTTGGATGCACCGTCTATTTACAAGTTAGATACTTTAGAAGTTGGGACTCAATACATGTCTCTTGTTTTTGTCCAGGAGGGCTTTCTGGACAGTGATGTGCCTCAGAAGGGAGCAGATCTCTTCTATGCAGGACAGATGGAAGATGAACAGAACGAGATGGAAGACTGGAAACCGGTACTTCTCTTTTCCATTATACCGTCGAACCTTCTCTTCTTAAACTTTGGATGGATTCCACTCATGCTCTGAATGTCCTCTCTCTTCAACAGAAGAAACCTTCGAAATTTAAGAACCGACTTGCAAGTCGGCGGAAGTCAAACCCAATCCAGGTAATTAAGTTTGTGTAGGCCTTCTGAGTGGATGGTCTGTTTATTAGAAACCTTTTTTATATTTCTATTTTAACAGATGTACATTGCCATTATTGGCCAATAAAGAACATCTGTATTTTTAAGTCTGCTTTCATTCCTTTATTCTAGGAAACATTTCTACATGAAAAGTCACAGATTGGTTCAGAGCGCTACACACCTCGACGAGCATCCCATGTGAGGGCATTTCTATTGGTCCAAAGATATGTCTTTTGTGCATACTTTACATGTTGCTAGTGTTAGTGTTGACTTATTCCTGTGGTATGTTTTCCAGGAGGGCTTTCTGGATGATGGCACTTCTCAGAGGAGGTCAGATCTCTTCTCAGCAGGAGGGAATGGAGAAGATGATGAACAGGATGATATAGAAGACTGCAAACCGGTACTACTACTTTATATCCATCTTTTCTTCATTAACTCTGTGATTTAACCCATTTATTAATCTATATCCCATCTTTCCTCTACAGAAGAAATCATTCAAATTTAAAGCCCCTCATAAGCATCGCAAAGGAGCTAAGGTAATTGTGTGTGTGTGTGTGTGTGTGTGGTGTTACTTCCGTATGTTTACTGATGTTAGTGTCTGTTTCTCTCTCTCTCTCAGAATAAAGTGAGAGATGGAGGGATGACTGAGTACCCACCAGGAGCTACATCTAGTGACTACTACTTTTCAGAGGCTGCAGAGGTACACACACAAGAACACACGCCCAACGTGTACATTTGTGCCGACTCATTGTCCTGTTTTGGAGACAGACCTGAAACGACTGAACTTAGAATACCATGGGTAGTTGCCAAATTATAGAGGATGAGTCTTGTATGACTAACATAATGGCATTAAAAAAGCCACATGCCCATGTTGTTGTTAAAAACTATGGTATGGACCTGGCTGGGTTCTCTCTCTCTCTCTCTCTCTTCTATCAGTCATTCCAGGGCCTTAGGGCAATTGAGTGGCACATTCCCTTCAGTCATGTAACTGAACCGGATCTGCTGCATACTGTAAGAGGGATTTTAACTCCTCAGGAGAAATAGGCCTCAAAGAGGGAGAGGGAGAGAAAGCTGACAAAGGCCATGGTTATCATAAAAGGCAATGCAGACTATCCCTTTATAATGATGGTAAGGTATGCACAGCAAAGAGATTAAAACTCAACGAACAATAATCTCTCCTACACCCTCTCTCACTTCTTTCTCACATTGTCCCCTCTCTCTCTTTCTCATTCTCTCCCTTTTCGCCCCCTCTCTTTCTCTCCCTCTACCGCTCTCTTGCAGGCTGAGTGGCGTTCTGCTCAGATTGACGAACAGCTTGCAGAAGGTCTGGAGGATGAGGAGGAGGAAGAGGGGGTCAGTATTTGAAGAGTCAAATGTCACTCACAAATCACCATTTGCCCTATTTCAATGGTAATAGTTTGAAAATGTGACTGTGTGAAAGCAAGTCCAGAGATTATATCAGTGTTGCTCTGTTGTCTCACAGGACACTGACAGCTTGATGGAGTGGTGGAACACTGTGGAACGTGAGTCATACACACATGCACACATACACGTGCGTACACATACACATGTGTGTGCACACAGTTTGTAATCTGGGGATTGTCTTGTCTCAGAATGGGATGAGCTGCCGTCAGATGATGAAGACAAGACGGTGAAGGACGATGAGACCAGGTATGTCCTCTGTGTGCTGATAACAACATAAGCCATAGTAATCAGTAGTCACTCTTGAAACATTGCTGATGTGTAAATACTTGTTTTTTTCTGCCTCTCTCTCTCTCAAGGTCGTTCACCCTACTGGCAGAGAAGGTGCACCGCGGCCTGAGTGTCTTCAACAAGGTGTTCACGGAGCGTGCCGAGGTCCTCTGGCAGTACGTCATCAAGCTCCACGCCCTTGCCGACGACATCACCTCCTTCCATAAGAAGGCCAAGATCGGCAACATCACCGGCGGCACCACTGCCGCAGTTGGGGGCGGCGCAGCCATCGTCGGCCTGGCCCTCGCCCCCTTCACCTTTGGCGCCTCGCTCATCATCACGGCTGTGGGCGTCGGAGTGGCAGCGGCCGGCGGGATCACGTCGGCCTCGGCGACCATCTCGGACAACGTGAACAACATGCAGGACAGGAAGAAAGTGGAGGTGGTTCTGGAGGATTATGAGGCGAGGATGGAGGAATTAGTGAAGATCTTGAGGTTTGTGTGCCAGGGGCTGTATAGACTCAGGGGGCATCCTCTCCTCCGGAGGGGAACCCAGCACTACTCTGGAGACTGGGAGGTCCGCAGGGCCGTTCACATGGTCAGCCTAGTGGATAGACCAGTGTTGAGGGCCACAGAGGTAACAGAAGGAGCTGCTGTGGCCCTCAGGGGCCTCTTCAAAGGAATGGATAAATACTTCACCAAGGACTCCCGTGAGCTGAAGAAAGGGTTTAAGAAAGAGGTGGTGTTTAAGATTAGGCAGGTAGCTCAGGTGCTGTATGAGGGCCTGGTGGAGCTGAATGCTATCAGGGAGGAGCTGCAGGATGCTAATGGCAATATATAAAAAACTACAACTCCCACAATGCAACGTGTCTTATGCGACTCACGGCCCCCCTCTACTGTTTAAGATCTCCTTTTTCTTTTTTTTTACATAAACCTAACAAGGACTTTCCCAACTTTCATAATGTTCCTCTTTAAACGAAAAGGAGAAACTGCCTTGTGATAACTTGTTTCAAACTTTGATTGTATTCCACAATTTGGGCAACTATGCAGCACGTGAAGCTTTTACTTACAAATAATTTGTATGTATAACTTTACTGGATTGTAAAGTAGTAGGCCTATGATCTTGGATACGTGTTTACAACTAGTTTAGGCATCTAAACATTCCTCAGCGCTGTTTTTTAGGCACACAGAAAATCACCTGACAACTCATATGACACTGGATTTAGAGATTTCGCTTTTTGCCTCACCGTGTGTGTGCACTGACTGAATGCTTTGTAAAGCATCTGTTCCAGTTATTTCCTTTATTATTGTTCATATGATATCATGTAGCCATGGGATCTAATCTAGCTATTCTTTTAATACCGAGTATATATTTCAACGCTAATAAATAGGTTACTTATCCTGTAACCAAATGAAATGTGCAATGTTGATAACTAATAGTGTAATGAGGTAACTATTGGAATTGTGTTAATAAAGAGAATTATGCATTTGAACTTTTTCTGATTGTCACTGATCTAAATGTACATTTCAGTATTTTATCACGTTTTTTTTCATCAAGTTGGAATTATTGTTCAAGCGCTCCCAACTCGGAGTGTAACTAATGAGAGGGTTTGATTAATCTCTCCCGGGCGTCCGTGTAGGCTTGTTTCGCACCGGCTGAAAGTTGCTGCATTCCATTTGGAACCGGGTTGACTCGTGGGTGTGAGCCAGGTGCACTGATGTATAATTAGAACCAGATTACAAAATATTTTTATAACAGACAGACCACAGCCTGTCATTTCTAATAGGAACAAATGAGTCATGGTGGGCAAAACAAGCAAGGCGGGTGGCAGAGCCAAATACGAGCTAGCGAGATCCTGTTCTAGCATGTATTTGCATATTTCCATTATGGAACGCCTACTCTGTGAAGTGCGTGTGTGCAATATATGAAGTTGCCCTTGCACTCCTTCTAAACAACGTGTTTTTTTTAGCAAAGGGTAAAATCTACAAAACTTTACCCACTGTTCGTAACAGATTCTAGTTTTGGGAACAGAACTGTATTGAGATCAAATGTTTAATCGATGAGGACATTTTCATAATGTTGGACAAAATCCATCTCCCTCTATCTTCTACCACTGCCGGCCACTGGGCTTCCTCTCATACCATATTTGGTAGTGTCAAGTTGCGTCAATCAAATCTGGTATAGGAACAAAAAGAGGTCAATACACGTCTTCTAAAATAGACTAGAATTTTATTAATGCAAATGTTTGAATGGTAAGTATGAGAATTCGTATACGGACTCACTGAAACACCACGCTGGGCAGACAGAGAACTGAGCTTTTGTTATAAGTTCTTCTTTAAATACTCTGACAGAGATAGTTCCCGCTCCCTGCTGGGCCTGTCAGAATAGAGGCTAGGCGTGGTTTAAACTTACCCAGCCTATCGCTGGCGCTCAGGCTGGTCCCAGTCCCTTGGCGCTCCACTGTTGTCAGGCATTAGTTGTTATCTTTACAACTTGTCTCGGGTCAGCAACCTCAGACATAGTTTCCTGTTCTTCAGATTTCAGTACTTTTCCACTCTAACTGTGCTCTATGTACACACGTCCTTGGGCGTGTGGGAAATTATTCTCTTATATTTTAGATGTGCTGTTAGCTTAGAAAGAATAAATTAATGATTAAACATAATAGATTTGTGCTGTACTGATACAGATTGTTTAACATAACAAGCTGTGATTAATGTGGGGAACCATTAGGGGGTAGGCCGAGACAGACTTGTGATTCTCACATACACACACACACTGCCTCTTTGTTAAAACACTCAAGGACATGTGTTCTGCTACAAAGATGTCTGAGGTTGCTGACTCTCTGGACAAGTTGCAAAACAACTAAACACCTGGCAACAGTGAAGCGCCAAGGGGCTGGGACCAGCCTGTGCGCCAACGATAGGCTGAGTAAGTCTAAACCACGCTCAGTCTCTACTCTGATAGGCCAGCAGGGAGCGGGAACTATCTCTGTCAGAGTATTTAAAGAAGAACTTATAACAATAGACCAGTTCTCTGTCTGCCCTGCATGGTTTTTCGGGTGGACCCGTATATGCGAACATCATATTTACCATTGAAGTGTTTTGCATTAATTAAAATACTAGTCTATTTTAGAAGACGTGTATTGACCTCTTTTGTTCCCAATACCAGATTTGAATTGACGCAACTTATCAGGCGGTTAAACAAAGAGGCAGTATGTGTGCGTGTGAGTCACAAGTCTTATCTCAGCCTACCCCCTAACGGTTCCCCACATTAATCACAGCTTGTTATATTAAACAATCTATATCAGTACAGTACAAACCTATTATGTTTAATCATTAATGCTTTCTTATTAAGCTAACAGCACATCTAAAATATAAGAGAATAATTTCCCACAGTAGTGAGTGGGAACACCAATGGAATGCTTCACACTTATACATCCGGGGAAATATCTGGCTCATTATAATATCTCTGACTAGACTGCCTCCAAGATAGCCAACCTTTTTGTTTTCAACGTAATATACTCACATTCGCATACGCCGTTTCATGATTACTGCCATCTTTCTGACTGGGATTACTCCACCTGCACACTAGCGCACTGGACAGACTGCAATATTGAGCAAACATGCTCCAGGAACTCTGAGCATGTGGACAGCTGAACAAGCCAACCAGCACTTCCCCTGGCTAGCTGGGGTCATGACGTCAATGCATGAATATAAAATGTTAATATCTTCAGCTGTGATTGATGTTTAAAAAAAAGGTGATGATTAAAGTGTCTTATTCGGAATGTTCAAATTTGAATTATCTTTGGGGCCTTCAATGGGAATTGTCTTTCTCGGCCGTGATTCAGTTAAACTGCAGTACCGAAGCAATACTGTAGGTGCAGTCAAAAGTGTGCTTCCAGACCAGAACCAGTGTTGCCAACTTAGTGACTTTTTAGTTTTCAGACCCCTCTAGCGACACATTTTCAAAAAAGCGACTAGCGACAAATCTAGCAACTTTTTCTGGTGTTATTGGAGACTCTGACGTGAAAGCACGTATCGTTCTTACTCTTCTCAACGAGCAGCGGGTGCTGCTGTGCCGTGCCGTGCCGTGCCGTGCCGTGCCGTGCCGTGGGCCCCACCCCCGTCCCAAAGCACTCACAGGCGACCCAGTCCTCGGGCAGCAGTCTCTCCCAGCTGCAGTCAGAGCAGGAGATGTTCAATTCTCCGTGTCCAGACTGCAAATGAATCGCGCATGCGGGAAGCCGCCGCTGGCTGATCCCGCCCTGGCTTACATTCAGGGCCGGATGTCAATGTAGGGTGTTTTTTACTCACTTTTTGTCTCTCCCACGACGTTATTCCTCTCTCCTACAGCGTCCATCACAATTACATGCACATGGCCAATTATGCAAATGTGGTGATTTTCCTTAATGAGGAGTTGGCAACACTGTAGAGAAGACTGGCGGTACTGCAGTTTAACTGACGCCGAGCCCAGAGAGACAATTCCCATTGTAAATTATCACATTTGTGCCAAAAATATTAATTTAAATAAAATTTACTTTATCCCACAACTGTTTGTGGCTAGACAAGCTAGCTAGTTAGTTGAGTGACTTGGTAATCTAGCCAGCTAACGTTAACCTAGCGGCTGTGCACATACGTTAATTTAAAAAAAAAAAACGTTTAGCTAGCTAACGTTTCCACTCGATAGACTGCGTAAAGTTAGCAGTGCGGTTAAGATTAGGTTTAAAATCTGATTTTAAGAAGAGAAATTATGGAACTGTTTCTCTTTCCAAATAGCCTACCTGTCTATGAAACTGGAGGTGTTTGGTGTGGAGAGGAAGTCTGAGAGTTGGACTTTCTAAGTCTGTGTTTACTGTTTTCTGTTTCTCTTTCCAAATAGCCTACCTGTCTATGAAACTGGAGGTGTTTGGTGTGGAGAGGATGGTGGACTCAGTGGAAGACATCCTAGCCACTTGGTAGTGAGGGGATTCGATTAATATCGCCCGGGCGCCTATGTAGGCGTGTTTTGCACCGGCCAAAAATGTATTGCATTCTATTTGGAACGGGGCTGCCTCCCGGGCGTGGTGCCTGCCGGGTGTAAACCAGGTGCCCAACTCTGGCCGACTGCGAAGTTGGCTCAAAACAAAAGTGACGTAGGTTAAGCACATGGAGTAATGAGTAGGATTCTGTGTTTTCACATGCAACAATGATTGCTTTTGATAAAAACACTATCTGCTTTCACAAGGAAAACTAGTTAGAAAATGTGAACATACAGTACCAGTCAAAAGTTTGGACACACCTACTCATTCCAGGGTTTTTCTTTATTTTTACTATTTTCTACATTGTAGAATAGCAGTGAAGACATCAAAACAATGAAATAACACATATGGAATCATGTAGTAACCAAAAAAGTATTTTATATTTGAGATTATTCAAAGTAGCCACCCTTTGCTTGATGACAGCTTTGCACACTCTTGGCATTCTCTCAACCAGCTTCATGAGATAGTCACCTGGAATGTATTTCAATGAACAGGTGTGCCTTGTTAAAAGTTAATTTGTGGAATTTATTTCCTTCTTAATGCGTTTGAGCCAATCAGTTGTGTTGTGACAAGGTAAGGGTGGTAAACAGAATTATTATTATTATATTATTATACAGAAGATAGCCCTATTTGGTAAAAAACCAAGTCCATATTATGTCAAGAACAGCTCAAATAAGCAAAGAGAAACGACAGTCCATCATTACTTGAAGACAAGAAGGTCAGTCAATCCGGATAATTTCAAGAAATGTTAACGTTTCTTCAAGTGCAGTCACAAAAACCGTCAAGTGCTATGATGAAACTGGCTCTCATGAGCACCACCACA